CCTCCAGCAATGGAGCACCCACAACTCTGGGAGGCAAGCTGTTCCACTGCTTAATAGTTCTGTCAGGAACCCAGAACCTCCTTACAATGGCTTACTTAGAATCCAGCGGCCAAGAGATCCCTGTCACCAGGAGAGAAACAAAGAAGAAGGGATCTGGGCCTCTGCTTTTACTGCGGAGCTCTCAGACGTATAGCCAGATAATGCACAATGAAATTTCAAATCTTCTAGTCATTACTGGCACAGTATTTTGCCATTTTCTTCATTTTCTTTCCCTTTTATTATTTCTGAAACATTTTTATTTGTGAAACATTTCCCAATTTGTATACAGTATTGCCTTTATAGATGGGGCACTAAGAATGAGACTAAGTGATTTGACTAACATGAGTCTGCAATACCAGAATTGGTCTGAACAAAACATCAGCCCTTTAACTCCAAGGCCATGTTTGCAAAAAAGAAAAGAAAAAAAATGATCTTACTTTCATAGAATAATGAAAATTCCACTAGTGCTACTGTGCAGCTGCTACACAGATTGTCAATATAATCATGTAACAAGTGAAGAAAGCAGGTAGCATTGGCTATATGGTTGAGTTTATCAGAGCAAGCTGTTAATAATGCCAAGGCAATGGATCACTTGCCCAATAAAGTACATGGAAATCTGAATATCAGTGGCAGAGCTCAGTCTTTGTGTGAACTCAGTCTTGAGTTCATGTCTGAGACCTTCAGTTGAAAAGATTAGGTAGCACATAATCGGGAACCATGGAGAGGCACTGCCAATTACATTAAGCGATATTGGTCTAGGCCAGTACACTTGGAGTCTGACCAATGACTTGCCATCTGCTCTAACCTTGCAACCCAGTCCATTTGAAAGAGGGGTTCGGACCTGCCCTGTCTAGAATTTTCCCATCTCCATTAGCAATAACACCTACAGTAGTGTGTAACAAGTCTACATTTTCTTCAGCTGCCTGGAAGCCTTTGTTCATATGTCATTCAAGTTCTCTTCAACTTGGAAATGTTCTTGAAATTATTAAGCTCATTAGCCTTTTTCTTATCTGTTCATTCCCTCAGGTTAAAAGCTCTTGGTATGCAGGATTTCCCCAGGGAGGCATCATAGCAAGATAGTTAATACATACCTACAACTTCATTTACTTCTCTTTCAAGCTTTCTTTAACAAGCAGTTTAATAGGGCATGGCACAAACTGAGCATCAATAACTAGGAATCCAGGGTTTTGCTTTTATTACCAAGCTTGTTTTCTTATGTAAGGGGGTTATTTTCATAATTCCCTTACATAAGAAAGTACTTTTTTGTGTAGGTATTCATTAGGGCCATTCAGCGCTTTGGATTTGAAGGCAAAAAGGTGTTTTGGAGCATGTTTGTAGCACCTGTCTGTAACTCCTTCAACCAAATGCATCTTTTTTTCCAGGATCATGGACCAGCTGCAGTTTCATGACTCTCAAAAAAGATGCTGCTGCTTTAATGAGATGTAGAGATGTAGATGTTACTATGAAATATCTTTTGCCTTCATATCCAAAGTGCTGCACAACTCTGTTGTGGGTTTTATGACCCTTCTAAATTGTTTTGACTCTGAAATCAGCAATAAATAAGCTTTTGTACAAAGTGATAAGTCTCAGTCTCCCTGCATATATTCTCACATTTCCTAGCTAACAAGATTTTTTAAAATGCAGTTATTATTATTTGGGTGGTCACAGCTTGTGAGGGAAGGATGAACCCATTGTTTAACCCTTCCCAAAGCTGCAATGAAAAGAAAAATCCATCAGGATCAACAAGAGGGGTGTTCTTTAAGTGCTATGCAGAGGGAAAAAAAAAACATGGAGGGGGAAGAACAAGGGAAAACACAATGGAGAGCAAGATTGTAGTAATGGTGTGCATGAATAAGACAGCATGTATGTGTGAAGAGGTTCTGGAGCTAGCAAGTATATACAGGTAATCCCTGGATTAAGAACATCTGGTTTACAGATGACCCATAGTTAAGAATGGAACCTACTGTAGCAAAATTTAAGTTAAATACACAATGGTTTGAGTTAATTACACAATACTACTTATACAGTATACAATAATACTGTTCTGGCTTATATACATATTTGACTTAAGGACAGACCTTGGGAACAGAACTCATTCTTAAACTGGGGACTACCTGAATCTAATTTTCTATATGGAAATGTGACCAGTAGTTGGATCATCATCATCAAAAGTCCTGAATACCATGGGTTAAAAAATTTCACTCCAAGATTCATAGCTCTCAATGACCCCCTAAATGGGGGCTAATACAGGTGATGCCTACATCTGTAACAATGTAACTGACCTTTTGCAGGAAATTGGGATTCAGAATTAAAGCACTAGTTATTTACACTCCAAAGATATTGCTACTGCTATTAGTCTAAATAAACTTTGTAGTGTGGAGCTATAAGCAACATCAGATCTTTTGATGGCAAGTATCTTCTTTTGATAGGCACAATGAGGACTTCTCTGGTTGCTTGAGAAGCTTCATCTGTGATGCTGCCAGTCAAAGCTTTTATTCTGCCTAGCTCAACTAGGGAATTTTAAGGGTGGTCCAGAGGTTCAACTTATAATCCTCCCA